GGGGAGTGGGGAGAGAAAAGATAAAGCATATCTTTCCTTCCCAAGGGAGAAGGACAGGAAATTCCCTTCACACCTGGCCCCCTGGAGGTTAAAGGAGCGCTTGCATTTGGAGAGGGCTGGAGGTCAGTCAGGAGAGAGAGGGCCCAGGAAGGAGATCCACAGATAAATAGACAAGCAGAGCCTTCGGAGCTCACCGAGGGCCCATTGGACCGGGCTGGGCTGGGCTCCTGAAGGAGGAAGTGGACTCAGTCTCCTGGGTCAAGGCGTTATAGGCCAGGACACACCCTTATTCCAAGCAAGGAAGTGGCAGGTCAGGAGACACAGACCTGCCCTCCTCTCCTGGGCTCCACTCCTAGGAAATGGAAATGGCTAGGCTCTGAGGAGGCAGGGCTGGGAGAGGAGGATCAAGCCTGAGAACACCAGGCCAGGCCTGCCTCGCAGCCTGGAAATCGTGATTCCTAGAGTTTTCATGACTAAGGGCTCCTGAGTCTCCACTATCCCCTCCCTCACTGGGACTCTGACCCTGACCACCCCCACTATGCACCTTACAGGAGGCAGAGCCTGGATAGGGGTGCTGTACCCATCACGGCAGGGAATACAATATCACCTCAGGAGAGTGCTGGAACTTGAAATCTTCAAAACACTACCACAGACATATCTCACAGGGGATTCCCACGGCCTCCCAGCGAGACAGGCAGATGGCTGACGGATGAGGAAATAGGGGTTCTCCAAGGACGAGCAACTTCCCCAGGCGAACACAATGGAAGCCAGGTGTCTTAGTCAGCGCAGGCTGCCATAAGCAAAGTACCACAGACTGGACAGCTTAAACAACAGCCCTCGATTTTCTCACTGGAGGCTGGAAGTTGGAGATCAGGTGCCAGCATGGTCGGTTTCTGCTGAGAGCACTCTTCCGGACTTTCAGGTGGCTGCCATCTCTTTGTGTGCTCACTTGCAACCTCTTCTTTGTGCATTTGGGGCGGGGGAGGGGAAGGGGAACGAGAGAGAGAGAGAGAGAGAGAGAGAGAGAGAGAGAGAGGGAGAGAGCACAAGAGAGAGCTCTCTGTCGCCTCTTCTCAGAAGGACAGTACTCCAAACGGATCAGGGCCTTATGACCTCATTTAACCTTAACTATCTCCTTATAGGCCTTATCTCCAAATACAGTCACGTGGGGGTTAGGGCTTCAGCCTACGAATATGGAGGAGACAAAATTCAGTCCATAGGACCAGGTGCTCCATAACAGAACCTCAGAGAATATGGTTCATTTCCCTGCCGCCTCTGTTCAGAGTGTACAGTTCAAAGCATTTTGAAGGTTGAGCCCACCCAGGGACTAACCCAGCCGCCTGTCAAGATACAAAACACTGATATCTTCCCAGAATGTACCCTCAACCTCCTTGCCAGTCGCTCCTACCTTTCTGAAGGTGACTGCCCTCTGAATCTCCTTCACCATGGACCCGTTTTGCTTGTGCTTGCATTCCATACCAATGGAATCATATGGTGTCACACTCTGCTCTCTAACTTCTCTCACCCGAGAGAGATTGTCTGTGAGACACACCCATGTGGTTGTGAGGGTCAGCCATCCACTGATTTTCGCTGCTTTGTAGGATTGCCACAGGGTACGGAGTCACAGCAAGTCCCTCATCCCTTCTCCTGATGATGAGCACTTGGGTTGGTTCTGGTGTGAGGCTATTATGATGAAAACTGATGGGAATGCCCTTGAGTGAGTCTCTTTGTGGACATGTGTCTTCCGTTCTCCTGGGTAAATAAGTAAGAGTGCCAGGGCTGGGTCACAAGGTAGGTGGATGATTCATTTAAAATGACTCCATGCAGATGTCCAAAGCTGTTGTGACAATTTACACTCCCATCACCAATTCTTGACATGAGGACCATCCCAACCTTGACCCAAGGCAGAGAGAGGCCGGCCACCCCGAGTCCCACATCTGTAGTGGGCTCGCCACCACCCAGCTCCTCCAGAGGGACTGCCATGAGTTAGGGAGCGTGCTGCAGACAACCAGGTCTGCGGAGGGCCAACCAAGGACATGCTGACACTTACCCAGCCCAGCAGGACCCCAAGTCAGGGAAACATGAGTGCCGTGTTGGGGTGACGCTCAGAAGGGCCATGTGAGCCTGAAAGGAGCCACCCGCACCTGTGAGGTTGCAGTGGGCGAGTGGACACAGAGGGGGCTGGCAGCCAGGAAGAAATTGAGGAGGTACTGTCCCCCAGGTAGCAGCAGCCAGCCAAGGAATGGCAGGTCCTCAAAGGGGAGGAGGGGCCCCGCCTGGATGCCCAAGAACCTGTGGAGGGTTTGGGGCAGGGCTGGGAGCTCCCAGAGGCTGAGAGCAGGGGCAGAGGGGGCGGTGGAGGAAGAGGGCTGTTGAGCAGTCAGAGCAGGCTGTGGCTGGCGGGGAGCTGATCTGAAGCCACAATTTAGGAAGTGTGGGCAGGCACTGCCTGGTAGGAAGGTAGGTGGGAGTGCCAGGCTCTCCCTGGAAGACATGGGAGGGGCCCATTTGGCTGTGCAGAGCTTGGGCCCTCAGCGATTGTGGTGCAAAGCAGAGAAGCCCTTCCTGGGTTGTGAGCAGACAATGCTCCCACTCAACCCGTGGAGGTTAAGGGACACTTACCCGAGGCCACTCAGCTAGGAAGCAGCCAAGTGGAGAGAAATGTGAGGCGCCCCCTCTGCTGCAATTGCCCATGTTCCAGGTGCTTCGGCCAGGCTGGCTATCCTCTGGACTTTATTCCTAACAGCGAGTACTAGAGGAGGTGTGTTATGGAAGCGTCCCGTCACCTAGCAGCCCCGGGCCTCTGTGAATCTTGACTGAAGCGTCTCCGCACCACCTCACAGTGAAGTGTTTCTGTGTTTATTCCTCCATGTGGTCAACATCTGCCAAGCACCACCTCTGTGCAGGGCCCGGCGCTGGCAATCAGGGGTACCAAGCCAAAAGACAGAAACCCTGGGGGCTGAACCAAGAAGGTGGCACAATTACAATTCCTTTACCTGTACCAGGGAGCCTAGCTGCCCACGGGGCTTGGATGGGGTGGGGCTGGGGTGGTGGGGGTAGGAGGGAGGAAGAGGGCAGAGTGTGTATCTAGCTGGGTGGCACACAGGACTCTCAAATGCAAACGTGGCCACAGAAACTCATACCCACCCCTGTCACCCCACTTCTCAACACCTCCTCTCACAAAAGGTGAGAGGAAAGACAGCTGCTGGTGCGATTCCCATGTCAGAGAGGGGCCTTCTCATCCTCTGGGTCCACACGCAAGTGAGAATCCTGGAACCCCACTTGAGCCCTCCCTGTGCCTTCTCCCTCTCTGCAGCCTGTATCTTCCCCTTTCTCTTGGACCCTTCTGCCCGAGGAGGCCCAGACCACCACCGTCCGGCCTGGACTACTGCAGAAGCCCCTCTCTGCTCCAGGCTTGCCTCCCTGCTGCTCGGTTCACCACACGGCAGGTCTGGTCCTTGCCATCCCTTTGCCTCAAACCCTCAGGGCTCTCCACAGCCCTCGGGGTAAAGGTCCCAGGCTCCTGGCAGATGGGAGCAGGCTGACAGATGCAGGTGCTTGTGCAAAAGAAGGCACCGAGGGCCTCCTCTGGGCCAGACTCTGTTCTAGGCCCTGGAGATGCCGGGGTGAGAAAAATGGGCAAGGTCCCTTCTCCTGGGGGGCTTGTCATCTGAGGAGAGAGGCCCTGATGCCCCAAAGCAAGGACCCAAACCAGCATCTATCACGTGATGATGCATAAATCAATGCCGCCAGTGTGAACATGAACGGAGGGTACTCTGGGGTCTACTTTGGATGTGGGTGGCCAGGGGCAGAGGAGGCCCCTGGGAGGGGGGGGAACATTTCAGCTGAGATTTGAATGAGGAGGAGGAGGAGGAAGCCATCACGGGAAGTTCTTGGGGTGGGTTGTCCCACACAGAGGAGGAGGAAAGGCAAAGGCTACAGGTGGGAAGGAGCTGGGTGTGTTCTGGGGCCAGTCGTGAAGGCCAATGCAGCAGGAGTCTGGTGAGAGGGGCTGGGGTGAGGGTGTTGGGGGGGGGGGCACAGGAAGAAGAGCGTAAGAGGAGGCCAGCTCCTGGAGGGGGGAGGCGTTGGCCAGGGAGGGGACTTGGGAATTTACTCTAAGGAGATGGGGAGTGACAGAGAGGACCTGTCGCCAGGAAGGAGCAGGGTCCGGTGGTGTTGCAAAGAGTTTGTCTTGGCTGCCATGGGAGTGGGAATGGGGTAGAGAGAAGGGCCAGAGTGGAGGCAGGAAGAGCAGGAGACGGGGCCAGGGACCATGGAGACGTGGAGAGGGGCAGTAGTCACCAACTAGAGTCAATAAAACCCGATGATGGGTTAGACTGGGGAGAGGAACCAAGGAGACGGGAGAAAGAATCGTGGCATCTTTGCTTGAGCAGCCAGGTGGAAGGCAGAGGGAGCCCTTGGGGGAAACCTGGGGAAGAAGCAGGCATGCTGAGGAGGATGAAGTGCTCCGGTTTGGACATCTTCATCCTGAAATTCCCATGGGGCATCCCAGTGGTCAGTTTGATGAGCACGTGTGGAGGTCAGGGAAGAGGTCTCGCGCAGAGATTGAACATTTGGAGCCATCAGCAGGGAGACAGTCCTGGATCCTGACCCAGAAGTGGGTACCAGACTCGGGGAGAGTGTGCTTGGCCCGGGAGACCCCACCGCCCTCCGCCGGCCCCAGCAGGACTGCGGGGGCGGCGTGGGGAGGGGGCCGCGGCCCCTGTGAGCCCGCAGAGGGCAGGGCGGGGGTTGAGCCTGGGCCCCAGAGGCGCCGCTGGAGGAGGAGGGGTAGCTGGTGGCGCGCCTGGGGAGTCGGCGTTGACCGGCATTAACTCTTGCCAGTTCCTATTCACAGGCTGTGGAGACCTGGGCCGTTCCCTCTGAGTCCTAGGCTCCCGCCCCAATTCATTTCCCCCCAAGTGCTAGCCTGGTCTGCGCTGGGAACTGTTTCCTGCCCTTAGTGTTAGCCCCGCGCCCGGCGGAAATCGCGGGCGATGGCGGTGAGGATGCTGCAGGACTGGTGCAGGTGGATGGGCGTCAGCGTTCGCACGGGACTGCTCATCCTGGGCATCCCGGAGGACTGTGATGAAGCCGAACTCCAGGAGTCCGTGGAGGCGGCCCTGTGGCCCTTGGGTCACTTTACCGTGCTGGGCAAAGTGTTTCGAGAGGAGGATAATGCCACTGCAGCCCTGGTCGAGCTTGACCGGGAAGTCAACTATGCTTTGGTCCCCAGGGAAATCCCAGGCACCAGGGGTCCCTGGAACGTGGTGTTTGTGCCCCATTGCTCAGGCGAGGAGTTTCTCAGTCGCGTGTCCCACTTCCTGGAGCAACAGGGGAAGACGGTGGAGAGTGTGGCCTGCGCCCTGGGGCTGGGGCTGGGGCTGGGGCTGCGCAGGGTGTGCTGGCTCCAAGCGGTCAGTCAGGCGGTCCGGCCTTGGGTGGAGACCCTGCGATACCAGCGCCTGGGCATGTTTTCCGGGAGGGGCCAGCCGGCCCCAGGGGAGGAGTCCTTTGAGGCCTGGCTAGACCACGCCGCAGACATGCTGCGTGGGTGGCAGGGAGTCTCCGAAAGGGAGAGGAGGAGGAGGCTGATGGAAGGCCTTCGAGGGACCGCCTGCAGCTCATGCACCAGCTTCTGGCAGAGAATCCTGCCAGGACAGCACAGGACTGCCTGGAAGCCCTGATCCAGGTATTTGGAGACAACAAGTCCCAGGCGACCACCTGGGTGAAGTGTTTGACCGCTCAGCAGCAGTCAGGCGAGCGTCTCTCTGCTTTTGTGTTGAGGCTGGAAGTCCTGCTGCAGAAAGCCATCGAGAAAGGGGCCCTGGCCAGAGCCTCAGCTGACCATGTGTACCTGAGGCAGGTGCTCACCAGGCCAACCTTATTGAGCCGTTGGATGAAGCGCTGAGGAAGCTGAGAATGGTTGGGAGGTCTCCAAGTTTCCGGGAGATGCTGGGGCTCATTCGGGAGTCTGAGGCATGGGAGGCCAGTCTAGCCAGGAGAGAGAGAGAGCCCAGGTGGAGGAAGGTGCTGGTGCCTGGGCCAATGCCCAGGCTGATGCCAGAGCCAATGCTAAGGCAGAGGATGACAAGGTGGAGGAGAAGGAGCAGGAGGAGGAGGGTGGTGACGACCATGACCCAGCCCCTGCGGGGCTAGATCAGGCAGGACCCTCAGAGGCCCCCAGGGGCCCCGCCCCTGCCCAGATGGGCAGTGCTTCCGGAGTGGGCCCAGGAGGGCCTGGCGGTGACCCAGAAGTCCTCGCAAGGGCAGGAGGCCGAGCAGACCCCCAGGAGGGGCTGAAGTCCATCCAGGAGAAGCTGGGAAACGAGGACAGGGCTGAGGAGATGAGCCGCCCTGAGTCCTCCTCGGGCAAGTAGGCTCAGAAGGCCCAGGGGCCCCCTCTCCTCCCGGGCAGTAGAGCCCTGGAGGCAGGGGGAGGCGAGGCCAGGGCAGCCGCCTCACCCCACATGGGGAGCACGCCGAGGGAGGGGCCTGTCCAGCCCAAACCAAGCCCCTGGCCCCTCACGATCCCCAAGGGGCCCTGACCCCCACCATCAGCCCTTCCAAGTGACCAAGATGACCATGTGTTACCCTAAATGGGCAGGGGAGGGGTGAGCCCCCGCTCAAGGCAGCACCACACCGAGCCCCATCCCCATCCCCATTCCAAGCCCTGCCAACTCTGGCAGCCAGCGTGGCAGCTCCCCCGAGCGGCAGCCCCGGCCTGGGTGAGGGGCACCTGAGGACATCTGCCACCCGCATGGGCCTGGGAGACATTAGGGGTCATCTCGAGGGTGCCAGCCACCTGAGCCTCCCACGAGGGGGACCCCCATTCACCATCACCTGGGACGGCCTGCTCCCTGTTCTGGGAAGCCCACTTGTGTCTCTGTGGACCCTGTAGTGACCCACGTGTCAAGTAATCCACCCTCAACACACACACAACACACACACACACATACACAAACTAGCCATGATTTCTCTGCAGAGCTGTGAGGTGTGTGTGATCCCGGGGTGGGGGTCCTGGCTGAGCGGGCAGCCGCCTCTCAGCCCTGGCACGTGCTGTGAGCTTCAGTGCCAGCCCGGGCTCTGCTTGCTCTCGTCCAGTGCTATGAGCTCAACTCTGCCTTCTCGGTGGAGATTTAGGGCAACTGCTGCTTGTTCCTGTGGAGATGTGTGCTTATCCGAGCAGTGGCCCCCACCCCACCCCAGAGTCCCCGAACCCAGTCCCAGGAGATGCCTAGAAGGATGGACAGATGAGGGTGTGGCCGGCACTCAGCCCGGGTCCTCAGGAAGGAAGAACTGGAGCAGGGACATGGAGGGGCTGCGGGAGGCTCCACTGGGGCTGTCCTCTGATGTGCCAACCTGTTATTACTTGTGGCTCAGTTTCCTCGTCTTGGTGGGGTGTCCCCTACTGTGTTTTCCAGCCTCCTGTGACTGTCCTGTGTGGTCCCATAGGGCAGGGCCCCACCCCAGCCTGTCAGCCAGAGGGGCAGGGGGTGCCCTGGAGTGAGAGGACATGGCCAGCATCCATCATTCTGGCAAGAGGTTGACTGTGGGGCTCCCAGGAAGGGAGACTGTGGTGGGAGGGCCTCAGCATGGGGGGCAGCTGAGGCACCCTGTTAGAGACTCTCCCCAAGACTGTGGGTTGTAGTGGCTATTAGAAGTTCCTCTCTGTGTTGTCATTCCCTTCTCTTCAATGGTTTCAGTAAGTGGTTCTCTTCAATAAATTTCATTGACCATTTCAGCTGTGTGTCACCTCTGCTGTGGGCAGCTAAGGGAAGGGTCTGCTGGGGGTGGGGGTGGGGCACTAGAAAAGGATTCCTGCTCAGCACACGTGGGAGATTTCTCCAGTGAGAGCGTAGAGTTGGCAATTTGGCTGGCAGACTAGGACATGATGAGGGTTTTTCCTCCTTTTTATAGGTGAAATACACAGCTGTGGAGTTCTGATGGTCCCCATCTTGGGATGGTCCTGTCCCTTGGTCTTTTGAAAATGGGTGGGAGTGATCTTGGTTTTCTCCTTGAATGGGGGAAGGCAATACTAGCATCCAGTGCTTGGGATTCAGGACTGCTAAATGTGCAAGATGCAAGAGGTGTGGCCATTGCAACAAAGAACTCTCATGCCCCAGAGGCCTCTAGCATCTTTTGTGAGAAAGCCAGTATTAGACGGAGAGTCTTTGAAAAAACCCGAAATGTCTTTTAATTTGAGGTTCTTGAAATGTGAAAACCTCACCATGGAACAACAATGGCAACACTTACTGAGCAACTGAAAATCTCTAGACACTTGTGGGGTTTCACGGAGAGTGGGCCCAAACATATCCATACCACCTCCACCTGCAGACTTGCTTTAAGGAAAATGAAAAGACCTGGAGGGGCCGCCCTGCCCAGGACTCAGAGTGAAGGGCGGGTCTCCCCACCTTTCCTCCCCCAACCCAGGGCATGAGGGTTGTGGATCCCTCGCCCAGCCCGCCCTCCATCCCAGCCATGAAATACCTGCAGGTCCCCAAACGTCCCTTGGTGGCTAGACAGTCTGGCCACTTGTCAGCTGGCAGGAGTGAGTTGAGCGGGTGGAGGGGCAAACACCTGCAGCCCAGAGTCCTGGACCTAGCTCTTGGCAGGGGCATCTGACCTCATGCCTGGGCCCTTCTGTGACCCGCTGGTCTCTGGGATTGCATACGTGACCTCTCTGACCTGTCTGGGTGCCCTGAGTTCCTACAGTGTTGCCAGGGATCCTGGAGCCCTGGATCCTGCCTGTGGTTCCTCCCCCTCCCTTCAACACCTAGCTCACTTATTCCTGGGGACAACTCGAGTTTCATGGGGAACCAACTAGCCACTGTCCATGCCCACAAGTTCCTGTCATGACATGGCACTGCTTGGCAAGCCATGCTGTGGTAGGCATCACACATATAAAGTAGAGGAAGATGGGCACGGATGTTAGCTCAGGGCCAGTCTTCCTCAGCAACTGGTGTGTAGACAATGGAATGGTAGAGCATGAGATTGGAGGTGGCAGGAAGGCCAGTTATGGGACAGCTACAGTAATCCAGCAGAAGACCATGGCAGTGGGGATGCCTCCCTGCAAAGCAATGGGAGTTGAAGGAGCTTGAATCCTTGCTGTAAGGACTCTTGGTGCCATGGGCCAAAGGTGTGAAATGTCCCATCCAAGTCTCACCCTCCGTTGAAGACTACATCCCCTAGAAAGCTACTGTCACTCATCCAGCATCGCTCCCCCCACCCCCACCTCCCTCCCGTCTTTGTTGCTCCAGCAGGCTTTATACTCTCTGCAGGAAAACTAATCATTTGACTTTGTACTTAGGGCTTTTATTCTCAAATTGTTTTAATCATTTGCCTCACAAACAGTTGTTGATCAGGCAGAGAGCTGGGGCTGGAGAGGATTGGAATTGGGAGCACCCAGCATATACTGAGGGGCACATCAGGCCAGTCCCTTGCTGCTAAGAGAACTTCCCACCCTCACCATGCCCAGCATGTGGGGGCTCATTGGAATCTGCTTTAATTCTTTTCTTCCCAGTAAAATGACTTTCTTCTCAAGAGCAGAAGTGTTTCTGCTCCTTTTGGTAGCTTCCATGGAGTAAAGCACTCAGCTAGACACATACTAGGTGTTCAGTAGGCATCAGACTCGGAGCAGAGGAGACCTTAACACTGTTGGATTACTTCCTGTCCATCTTCTCTTCCTACAATGCTGCCAACACCAGCTCTCCCCGAGGAGGCTCAGGGTAAGTAGGAATGGTTTGGGTCTTTTAGGAGTCTGTGATATTTATTCACAGATGTGCCCTCAGACTTCTGCCAGGAGGCTGGGGGGTAGGTGGGCCCAGCTCAGAGGGATGTAGGTAAGGATGGAATGCCGGAGAAGGACGGGGCATTGATCTCTCTGGGTAAGGGCAGCATTCCTTCTCATGGACCCTCTGAGCTGGGGCTGGAGAGCCAGGACTCGAATTTCTGTTTCCTTGGGAGCCAAAAATAGATCATTTCTGTTTCCCTTTCCTGCTGAAAGCCTAGTGGCAAACAGAGTTGTTGGTAAACTTACTTAAGTTGCTTCAGAGGGTTTGGTCTCTCTGTCCTCTGATAGGGGTTTCCTCAGGCTCCGCTGGAGATGACTTGAGATGCCCATTCTGTCTGGGCAAGTAAAGCCAGGTGTTCCTTGAAGCTGAGTTTCCCGCTCCTGCTCCTGTGCCCATCCACCTTCTCTTCATCCAGCCCTTCTTGGAAATCACACTGGGCCCTGTGGAGATATTCTTAGTACCATTTGTGCGGTCTCCTAGATTACCCTTTCCCCCTGAAGGCCAAGTGATTATAATGGAACTCTGGGGCACCATTATGTCCTCAGCACAAATAGCTAAGTCCCTTTTCTTTTTCAAAAACCAAGGATTCCAATTACCGAACCAGACATGATCTCCCAGTTAGAGTCAACAGAAGAACGATGGATGCTGGAAGGAGAAGTGTCACGAGGCTCCTGTCCAGGTGAGTGAGTGAAAGCCAGGTAAGCTGATGTCCTTCTGGTCAGTGAAGAAGTGCGTGGCTTTCCTCAGTTGCTGATAATGAGAGCAGTTTTCTACTTAATTCGTATCCTCCGTGAGAGGCACTCATACCTGATACATTCATAGAAAGAATTAAAACTGACCATTTGGAGGCCCTGGATTGAACTGGGGTTTGCAATTCTAGTTCTGAGGAGAAAAACGAACATTCTAAGAATTCTAAATGTTGCTTGCTCTTTTTGTTGGCCTCTGATACCTACCCACATTCATCATTCATAATTCTGTGTGAGATATTCCCAGCTACATTCTCCTTCACAGGGCATTTACATTCCAGTCGAAAGAATAGCATACTTAATAATGGCAGCTTAACTCCAAAGAAAAGGATGGAAGGAGGGTGACAAAGGAAACCATTTGTTGTGTTTTGTGATTTTTTAAAAGACATTCATTCATTTAACAAATGGATGGTTTTTACCCAATCTGATTTGCTTTATTACAAAGATAATATATGCTCATTCTAGAAATTAAAAAAATATAGAAAGACACAAAGAAGAAAACACAAATGTCCTGAAATCCTGCCTCCCAGAGGCAACCGCTCTCAGCCTTTGTGTGCTCATTCTTCCAAGCGCGTCTCTCTTCACAACTGTGTGTGGAGATGTGGATACTTTGAGGTGGGTGCTGTGACCCTCAACCTGCCATTTTGCCCTCAATAGTGTGTTGTGGACAGCTTTCCATGTCAGTGAATACATAGGTGTACACGAATATTCATCCTCTTTAGTGGCTGCATAGCATTCCACTTTACCAACATATCATAGTTTATTTAACCCAGTCCACTATAGATAGCTATTTAGGTTGTTTCTAGGTTTTCATTATTCTAAGCAACACAGAAATTGAAC